TTAATAGGTATCCTGACTCCCTGATAAATCAACACTATTTTTATACAAAATGCGAATGATGGATGACAATTTGAGGATTGAAAGGGACCTAATATTTACAGGGTACAACTGATGTCACAATGGTATCCACCTAGTGATAGAGTTGGTCCATGAGCACTTAGTGGACTGTTGAAAGGTGGTGGAGGGTCTGATACAACGGAGGAGTTTCCTATACCTTCAATAAAATAGTGGCCACATACCACTTACATCAAGTTGTGGTTGGGTGGTGGGCGGGGGTGGTTGAATGTATCTTAGGGGTACTTCCCTAGAGATAGGGTGGAAATGGGAGAGAGTGTTGTAGGGGAAGTATTGTTGGGGGCAACCGGGTACCATGTATTGGGTTTTTTTCAGAGTAGGTGAGGACATTATTTCCTAGTCTCTTTAATTGTTTGGAATAAGAGATGTGCAGATGTTCAAATGTATGGTTGCCTCAAGTTTGTTTGGGGGGAAAAGAGTTGTGTTTTTGTCTTGTTGGCGTGGTTATGGTTATGGGTTGGTGGATCTTAAGTTTAGTTGGCCTGGTTTACTGAAGTGGTATGGATTATATTTTATCAGGTGTTCCGGATGTGACTAATGTTACAGAATGTGAATTATTGATGGGATTAAATTGTGAGCTTGGTAATGTCATGAAGGACACGAGCACACAATTGTAAGTGGAAATTGGTAATTTGGGTGTTCCTTCGGGGAGGACAGATGAGTTGACAGTCCTAGGCTTATTAATAGATATTATTCTCTCATTTGGGTTCCTTTGAGACACAGGGTATGGTGTGTGGGACACATTGGGTGGTGAGGTGAGAGATAGGAATGAATGGGGTTCGTGTTCAAACTTGACTATGAATATGTTTAGTTGGGAATTTACAGGTGGTGATAATTATATTTTATCGTTTGAGGGAATGGGGTGTATTGACCAATAGGATTTTTAGCTGACATGCTAGTAGATCGCCCAATTTTTGTTATGTTAAGTATTGTTGATAGAGTGAGAGGTTATATCGAATGTGACAACTTCTGTATTGCAGGGTAATAATAGTTTAATACTTGTTGTGCACAGGGGTTTTTTGGGTTGGGTGGAAGTGGGGGAAGTTACATCTGAGGTTTTGGGAAAAAGGGTAACTCAGACTCTTTGGGGTGAACAGTGTGATGAAGATTGATATTTAAGTACTGACATAAATCTCAAAATGGGATTCTTATCTTAACATGGGGGTTCAGAGTCAAGAGACATTAGGGCGGTATGGTTTGGTGAATGTTAATTTTACCCCACCCAAATTGAGCTTATTTATGTGCCCCCACCCATAATGAGTGTAGTTCATGGGTCCCCACCATATTGATTAAATTAGTGTCAATCCGAACAAACGGGCTGAGGCCAAATTCACACCCCAGCCTGTCTCCCATACACCAGATCGGAGCCCGCCCCACGTCCTCTGATTGGACAGCTCATACTCTAATGTTAGTCCATGAATGTTATGACCCCACCCAGAGCACACCCCTCTGCCTCACATCATGGCCCGGTCGGCACAGGACATCCTTCCATCTCCCAACTCAGAGGCCGGGACCGGGTTGACCAGCCAAGTGTAACTGCACCGGGTGACCACCAACCCTAGTGACGCCTCTGACTGGATTGATAGCTAATTAGAGGGTGAGGCGGAACTAGGTGATGAGGAGAGATCAGTGCTCGAGATAACACGGTGAAAAGGTTTTGTAAGGTTGCAACCTATGAGAGGATGGTGAAGGAGCGGGCCCCTTATGACATTTGCTGCCAATGTATTCATGGGGCAAACTGCCATGGGACAGATGAAAAAGAGCTTTCCAAATTGACCCAATCCTTCAAATGCGAGTAGTGGGCAGTTCCAGTCAAGTGTTCTGGCGTGTGGGACAGCATGGTAATTGTCAGGGTCCATGTCCCACGGCAGAGATGTTCTGGAAGATCTGGCATTTTCTGCCCGTACCCTGCATGGCCGCAGATGCACACATCAGCCTCAGTTTGGTGCCAGGCGGCCATTATTAAAGAGGCTCAATCACTTCCTTTGGTTGCTGGATGATCTCCTAGCTCCCCGTGCCCTGTTCCTGGTTCCTGTGATTGTTGACCCTGTGAATTTCTTGATACAGATTCGGCTTAGCTCATGGACCTGTCTACTGCTGCCTTACCGCAGATCTGACCTCGGCTGGGCTTATGGACACTCCATCTCTCTCTTTCCTCTATGTATGAGCTCGGCTATCCCATCTGACTACGTTGCTCTGATTCCCACCTGGTACCTGACTTGGCTTGAACCGAACTACCCAGAAAACATCTAAATCCCGGAAGGCTTGCATACCAGCACAGGCGACCTCCTGTCTGCAGACCTATCTCCGTGCACCAGCTGTGCTTCCTGAGTGGACCACCAACCTGCACTCCTACAGGTGACCTGTGCACTTTGGGCCTGGGACTCCCGCTGTCCAACTCCGGAACTTAGCCCCAACCACAAGGGAGCCCTCTCTCCACTGGCCTCCATCACCAGGTACGTGATAGTATACTGCTTAAAGTTTGGAAGTCCATACCTACAGTAGATTTTGATTTAGTGATCAAATGAAAGGCGATACGTGGGTTTCCTATATGACCAACACAAATTTAGTTTGATGAGATTGTTGGGTTTTAAAAAAACTGGAAGGTGTCCGGATGGGAAGAGCGTGCGTTCGTATATAATATGCGTGGTCAAAGGAATATTCATTTTTATGATGGAGGCTCTCCCAAACCAGGAGAAATTATTAAATTGTCCATCGTTGGGGGTGAATCTCGTTCCACAGAGGTTGGCAGGAACGGAAAATTACAATTCAAACACTTTCTGGTATGACCCGTAATCCATCTAGATATTTTCAAGCCTTAACGTCCCATTTGAAAGGACAGATGAGTTGAATTTCAGCTAGTTTTTGAGATGGGAGTGAGATATTCAGGGCTTCAGATTTATGGTAATTATTTTTAGATTGGATATACTGTATACCCAAAGTCAGAGCTTGAAAAGAGCCGCTCGCCAAATGCGAGGAGAAATTCCTTTGTGGGGAGCGGCAAGCACAGATGAAGAAGCATGGAGCGACTGCACGTGCGCTCCAAGCCTCATTGTGAAGCCGAGTTCCGCTTTACAACTTCTGGTTTCTGCGGCATCGCCGTTACAGTGGCAGCGCCTCTGAGGGGACACATGCAGGAGAGGTCCGCTCTCCTACACTGAGAGGAAACACCCTCTCCACCGCCTTGGGGGACACGAGGTCCCTCTCCCACCGCCTTGGGGGACACGAGGCCCGCTCTCCACCGCCTTGGGGGACACGAGGCCCGCTCTCCACCCGCCTTGGGGGACATGAGGCCCATTCTACACCTCCTTGGGGGACAAGAGGCCCATTCTACACCTCCTTGGGGGACAAGAGGCCCGCTCTACACCGCCTTGGGGGACATGAGGCCCGTTTTCTACACCTCCTTGGGGGACAAGAGGCCCGCTCTACACCTCCTTGGGGGACACGAGGCCCGCTCTACACCTCCTTGGGGGACACGAGGCCCGCTCTACACCTCCTTGGGGTACACGAGGCCCGCTCTACACCATCTTGGGGGACACGAGGCCCGCTCTCCACCGCTTTGGGGGACACGAGGCGTGCTCTACACCTCCTTGGGGGACAAGAGGCTTGCTCTCCACCGCCTTGGGGAACACAAGGCCTGCTCTACACCTCTTGGGGGACAAGAGGCCCGCTCTCCACTGCCTTGGGGGACACGAGGCCCGCTCTACACCTCCTTGGGGGACACGAGCCCCACTCTACACCTCTTTGGGGGACACGAGGCCCGCTCTACACTGCCTTGGGGGACACGAGGCCCGCTCTACACTGCCTTGGGGGACACGAGGCCCGCTCTCCACCGCCTTGGGGGACACGAGCCTGCTCTAATACCTCCTTGGGGGACATGAGGCCCGCTCTACACCGCCTTGGGGGACACGAGGCCCGCTCTAACACCGCCTTGGGGACACATTGAGGCCCGCTCTACACCGCCTTGGGGGACACGAGGCCCACTCTACACCACCTTGGGGGACACGAGTAAGGTTTGTGCCTGGCTAGTAGGTCTGGACTCAAAATTTTTACCCCTGCCCAAAGTCGTGAAAAACTGCCAACAGATTAGGAACAGATGTACGGGTTCTAGTTAAACAAAAAAAGAAGGTCATCAGCGTAAGCTGCAACTTTGACCTCTCTGTTCTGAACTACATGGCCACATATGGAGGCATCAAGATTCACCGTGCGTATAAAGGGCTCCAAGGTTGAAATAAAAAGCAAAGGTGATAATGGGCAGCCTTGTCTTGTACCATGAGATATTACTACCGGTTATTTGGGCAGATGGATTGCGGTAAAGAGAGGAGATCCAAGAGTCATTTTAGAGTCCAGGCCAACGTGTCTACAAGTAGCGAACTTACAGTCCTATGCCACTCCAAGGCCTTCTCCTCATCCGTGGACAGGAGAAGACCCTCGACTGTATCCAATCTCATCCTGTGTACCCAATTTACAGCTTTGATGTCTCTGGCTTCCCTGCCAGGCTAAAACCTACTTGCTGAGACCTATTAGTTCAGACAAAAGGGGTCTTACGGTTGGCCAAGATTTTTGCTAACGATGTTAAGTCTGTATTTAGAAGTGAGATTGGCCTGTAGCTGGTGCATTCAGCCACATCCTTCTCTGGTTTGGGGATTCCTGTAATGTGTGCTGAGCAGAATGAGTTGGCGAATATCCTGAGGTTCGCTGAGGGAATTGAAAGCCCATAAAAGCGGTGCCTTCAAACTTTGCTGAAAACGTTTTATATAATATTGGGCTGTGAATCCATCAGGACCCGGACTTCAGTGCTTTAACCGCCTCCCACCCGCCATATAATGACATGACAGACGGGCGGCAGTTCTCTCGTTCTGGGAGGACGTCATATGACATCCTCCCACCCTAACACCGTGTGCACACCCTGGGACACAGCGGATCACCGATCAGAGGAAAGAGCCGATGACGTCGGCTCTGTCATGTGATCATCTGTGTCCAATCACAGCGATCGCATGTAAATAAGGAAATGCCAGTTATCGGCAGTCCTCACGCTGACAGCTCGAGAGGAGAGGAGAGAGGAGAGCCGGTAATTGGCATTACTCAGAGGGGACATCTACACTGATCATCAGGGTAATGATGATCAGTGTAGCCCCATCAGTGCCACCTGTCAGTGCCCATTAGTGTACATCAATGCCACATATCAGTTCCTACCAGTGCACATCAATGCTACATATCAGTGCCCATCTGAGCTGCCTTTTAGTGCCACCTATCAGTGAGTGCCCCCTGAGTGCTGCCTTTCAGTGCTACCTTTCAGTGACAGTCAGTGCTGCCTTTCAGTGCCCGTCTATGCCTAACAATACCTATGTGCTGCTAACAATACACATCAGTGCTATCAGTGACAGTCAGTGCCCCCTATGAGTGCTGCCAATCAGTGCTACCTTTCAGTGCAGTCAGTGCCTTTCAGTGCCCGTCAGTGCTGCCTAACAATACCTATCAGTGCTGCCTAACAATACCTATCAGTGCCACCTATCAGTGCAAGTCAGTGCTGCCTAACAATACCCATCAGTGCCGCCTATCAGTGCCTTCTATCAGTGCCACCTATTACTGCCATATATGAGTACTGCTTTTCAGTGCCCATCAGTGCCACCTGTAGAGTTCACAGAGAAAAAGTCGTCGATCTCTCTCATTATATGCTGCTGGGTCCCTAAATCCGTCAGTAAAGTGGGAATCAAATGCCAGATAAAGGTTTTCCTGGAATGAAGAGTAACTGGGGTCAGGCTTATGGAAACAAGGGAATGATCCGAAGTAGACTGGATGCCAATATTAGCTGCCCATCAGTGCCACCTACCAGTGCCTCCTCATCAGTGCCCATCACTGATGTCTGTCAATGCCCACCAGTGATGCCTGGCAATGCCCATCAGTGCCACCTACCAGTGCCTCCTCATCAGTGCCCATCACTGATGTCTGTCAATGCCCACCAGTGATGCCTGGCAATGCCCATCAGTGCCACCTACCAGTGCCTCCTCATCAGTGCCCATCACTGATGTCTGTCAATGCCCACCAGTGATGCCTGGCAATGCCCATCAGTGCCACCTACCAGTGCCTCCTCATCAGTGCCCATCACTGATGTCTGTCAATGCCCACCAGTGATGCCTGTCAATGCCCATCAGTGCCACCTATCAGTGCCTCCTCATCAGTGCCCATCAGTGCAGCCTCATTAGCGCACATCAATGAAGGAGAAAAATTACTCATTTACAAAATTTGATAACAGAAACTAAGAAAATGTTTTTTTTTTCTAACTTTTCAATTGTTTTTGGTTTGTTTAGCAAAACATAAAAACCCCGAGGTGATTAAATACCACCAAAAGAAAGCTTTATCTGTCTAAAAACAATGATAAAAATGTCATGTGGGTGCAGTGTTGCATGACCGCGCAATTGTCTTTCAGAGTGCGACAGTGCTGAAAGCTGGAAATTGGCCTGGGCAGGAAGGGGGTAGAAGTGCCTGGTAGGCAGGAAGGGGGTGACAGTGCCCGGTAGGCAGGAAGGGGGGTAGAAGTGCCCGGTAGCAGGAAGGGGGTAGAAGTGCCCTGTAGGCAGGAAGGGGGTAGAAGTGGCCCGGTGGGCAGGAAGGGGGTAGAAGTGCCCTGTAGGCAGGAAGGGGGTAGAAGTGCCTGTAGGCAGGAAGGGGGTGACAGTGCCCGGTAGGCAGGAAGGGGGTAGAAGTGCCCTGTAGGCAGGAAGGGGGTAGAAGTGCCCGGTGGGCAGGAAGGGGGTAGAAGTGCCCTGTAGGCAGGAAGGGGGTAGAAGTGCCTGGTAGGCAGGAAGGGGGTGACAGTGCCCGGTAGGCAGGAAGGGGGTAGAAGTGCCGGTAGGTGAGGGGTTAATAGCCTGTAATAGTTCTTCCTCAGATATAGGTTGTTCCAAATCTTCAACCTCCTCAGCATTCAGGGAAGGCATTTTACTATTAAGTAACTATTCTCTGAAGATATGTTCCCTAGTACAGGGGTGTCCCGAGGCAGATGCGGGGGGTGTGTGGCCCGCACCGGGTGACACCAACCGCACGGGGTGACACCTGACCCACTCCACAAAAAGGTAAGTTGTAAAGCAAGTCGACGATCCCCGCAGGATCGTCGACTTGGTTTACAACTTGGGGAGCATAATGGATCAGACTCCGATCCATTATGCTCAATCCGCAGATCCGAGCCATCCTGCGGGGATCGTGGGAGGGGGTGTCACCAAGCGTTACCGCACCGGGTGACACCAACCCTAGGGATGCCCCTGCCCTAGTACCTTGTAAAACAGAAGGTTTGAGTTGTGCCGGAAGATTCTATAATTGTGAATAGAATGCTTGCACCTGTTTAGCGATACATTCCGTGGCTTGTTCCATTTTACCATCCTGGTTCCTAATGCCGTGAATATGGTCAGCCAACTGAATGTCTTGTAAGGCCCTGGCAAGAAATTTTCCACTCTTGTCTCCGTATTCATAATATATGCCTTTGTGTAAAAACAAGATATGTTTTGCATTCACATCTAAAACTTGTTGAAGGAGTTTCCGCGCATCTTTAAGTTCCATCGCCACCTGGAGTGCCAATGAGTACGTAACGGAACCGTACCCCTAACAGGCACAGGGTGACTTACACATAAGAGGGATATGGGGAGCTGAGACAGGGGTCTCCCCACCTCTCCAAAGTGAGCTGTGTTCCATGGGTCCCCCACCCAAAGTGAGCTGTGTTCCATGGGCCCCCCACCCAAAGTGAGCTGTGTTCCATGGGCCCCCCACCTAAAGTGAGCTGTGTTCCATGGGCCCCCCCACCCAAAGTGAGCTGTGTTCCATGGGCCCCCCACCCAAAGTGAGCTGTGTTCCATGGGCCCCCCACCTAAAGTGAGCTGTGTTCCATGGGCCCCCCACCCAAAGTGAGCTGTGTTCCATGGGCCCCCCACCAAAGTGAGCTGTGTTCCATGGGCCCCCCACCCAAAGTGAGCTGTGTTCCATGGGCCCCCCACCCTAAAGTGAGCTGTGTTCCATGGGCCCCCCACCCAAAGTGAGCTGTGTTCCATGGGCCCCCCACCCGTTCCATGGGCCCCCCACCCAAAGTGAGCTGTGTTCCATGGGCCCCCCACCCTGAAAGTGAGCTGTGTTCCATGGGCCCCCCACCCAAAGTGAGCTGTGTTCCATGGGCCCCCCACCTAAAGTGAGCTGTGTTCCATGGGCCCCCCACCTAAAGTGAGCTGTGTTCCATGGGCCCCCCACCTAAAGTGAGCTGTGTTCCATGGGCCCCCCACCTAAAGTGAGCTGTGTTCCATGGGCCCCCCACCTAAAGTGAGCTGTGTTCCATGGGCCCCCCACCTAAAGTGAGCTGTGTTCCATGGGCCCCCCACCAAAAGTGGGCTGTGTTCCATGGGCCCCCCACCTAAAGTGAGCTGTGTTCCATGGGCCCCCCACCTAAAGTGAGCTGTGTTCCATGGGCCCCCCCCACCTAAAGTGAGCTGTGTTCCATGGGCCCCCCACCTAAAGTGAGCTGTGTTCCATGGGCCCCCCCACCCAAAGTGACTCCTGTCACAGAGTATTTATGTTGCGCTTCTAGAGATGCAATTTTATTAGAAATATCTGTTGTTCTCTTTCTCTCTTACGCCTGGCGCCCAGTTTTATACATTCACCCCTCCATGTGCATTTATGTGCTTCCCAGATCATCACGGGAGCAACATCTACCGTAGAGTTCACAGAGAAAAAGTCGTCGATCTCTCTCATTTTATGCTGCTGGGTCCCTAAATCCGTCAGTAAAGTGGGATTCAAACGCCAGTTAAAGGTTTTCCTGGAATGAAGAGTAACTGGGGTCAGGCTTATGGAAACAAGGGAATGATCCGAAGTAGACTGGATGCCAATATTAGCTGCCTGTAAATCCGGTAAGTCGCGCTGTGTCAAGAAAACATAATCTATCGAAGAGTGTTTGTTATGTGGGGCGAGTATGAGGTGTAATCCTTATCCTCGGGATGTAACGTTCTCCACGTATCAATCAATGTCAATGAGCGTAGAAAGGCTTTAGTTCCTTTAAGAACCCTAAATGTACATTAGAAGTTCCAGTGGAGGCATCTGTCAGTGGATCCAGAGCTACACTAATGTCTCCACCCAACATAATACAACCAGAGGAGAAGCATTTCAATTTATCGAATTATTCGGAAAATATACATTATCCAGTGTGCCCGGCGACCTGATGAAGTGCCTTTAAGAAATAGATATCTTCCTCCTGGATCCGTCACTTGGAGCAAAGAGACTCCCTTCGTTTTAGAAGTCATGTTGGTAGCATGGAAAACCTGGGGAAGATTCTTGTGTATCATTCTGGGAATATGGTTTTGCGCAAAAGTGGGTTTCTTGTAAGAAAACTATTTGAGGGCTTTTGTAAGTCTACGAAGCAGAACTACGCTCTTTTCGGGGATATTCAGTCCCCTACAGTTAAAGGAGACAATGGGGGGCTTTCTCCCTAAATGATATCTTATGGATACTAAGACAACTATGCCGTTTAATTGAAGGATGAGAGTTAGGCCGCCTCTCACTAACAATGCCAAAGACTTTTCACTATGGATGACCAATACTCCTAGAGAAAAGAGAAGGGAGAGAGAAAGAAAGAAAGAAAAAGAAAGAAAGAAAGAAAGAAAGAAAGAAAGAAAAAGAGAAAAAGAAAGTGGGAGGGGGGGAGAGAGAAAGAAAGAAAAAAAAGAAAGGGGGGGAGAAAGAAAGAAAGAAAGAAAGAAAAAGAAAGTGGGAGAGGGGGGGAGAAAAAAAGAAAGGGGGGGAGAAAGAAAGAAAGAAAAAGAAAGTGGGAGGGGGGGGAGAAAAAAAGAAAGAAAGAAAGAAACCTTTAAATACATGAAGGGGGTGGATAAGGTTCAGGAAGGCGGGATTTTCAACACAAATCCAAAATCAAGAACACGGGGACAGGACCAACACGGGGACAGGACCGACACAGGGACAGGGCCGACACGGGGACAGGACCGACACGGGGACAGGACCGACACGGGGACAGGACCGACACGGGGACAGGACCGACACGGGGACAGGACCCACACGGGGACAGGACCCACACGGGGACAGGACCAACACGGGGACAGGACCGACACGGGGACAGGACCGACACGGGGACAGGACCGACACGGGGACAGGACCGACACGGGGACAGGACCGACACGGGGACAGGCCCTCCAACTAACTGGAGGAAAGGTCAAAATGAACCTCAGAAAGAGTAGTTGATGCCGGGAATAAACTTCCAGCAGAGGTAGTGAGCCAGTCCACAGTACATAGTTTCAAACATGCTTGGGACAAACATAGATCTATACTCAGACAAAAAATTTTACAAAAAAAACACAAACAAACCCCCCCCCCCTCCCCCCCCCACACACACACACATACAAAAGAAGGGCAGACTTGGTCTTTTTCTGCTGTCACTTCTCTATGTTTCTACGAACAGTCATGTTTACAAGTGTGAATGGAGTACGTTCCTTTCTGAGAGTAGAGGCCCACCATAAGGTCAAGTATTTACCAATGGCAACCTCCCTTGTCCCAGGGCATTGATGAACCAGCACAGGGTAAAGGTACCCCGTGTGTATTGAAAGTGATCCTGTGACAGGCAGGGCCGTTTTAATGAATAGGAACACCTGGGCTCTGCCCAGGGGCCCCAGGTACATCAGGGTTAGGCCCAGGGGGGGAAGCCATGGTGCTATGTTGAGGGGGGGGGTAGAGTGTGCAGTGGCGAAATGGCTCCTTGTGCCGATCTTCTTTGACCGATCTTCTGATCTTCAAGAGGCTGACTGATGCTGGAGAGAAGAAGAGAACTCGCACTGAGACTGAGAACTCATCTCAGTCTCAGCAGCAGAGAGAAAGGAGGAGCTACTTTCATTACAGGAGGGAACAGCACTTGGGATCTGTGAGTACAAGGGGGAAGAGGGGTATAACTCTGATGGATGACATGGATGGGGACACCTGATGGATGGGGACACCTAATGTCATGGGACACTGTGATGGGAACAGCTGCTGGATGGAGACACTGTGATGGGGACACCCCATGGATGTGGACACTGTGATGGGGACACCTGATAGATGTGGACACTGTGGTGGGGACACCTGATAGATGTGGACACTGTGATGGGGAAACCTGATGGATGTGGACATTGAGATGGGGACACCTGATGGGTATGAACACTGTGGTGGGGACACCTGATGGATGGAGACACCGTGATGGGGACACCTGATGGGTATGAACACTGTGATGGGGACACCTGATGGATGGAGACACTGTGATGGGGACACCTGATGGGTATGAACGCTGTGATGGGGATACCTGATGGATGGGGACACTGTGGTGGGGACACCTGATGGATGTGGACACTGTGATGGGGACACCTGATGGATGTGGATACTGTGATGGGGACACCTGATGGATGTGGATACGGTGGTGGGGACACCTGATGGGTATGAATACTGTGATGGGGACACCTGATGGGTATGAACACTGTGATGGAGACACCTGATGGGTATGAACACTGTGATGGGACACTGATGGATGTGGACACTGTGATGGGGACACCTGATGGTTGTGGACGCTGTGACAGGGACTCCTGATGGATAGAGACACTGTGATGGGGACACCTAATGTATGAACACTGTTATGGGGACACCTGATGGATGTGGATACTGTGATGGGGACACCTGATGGGTATGAACACTGTGATGTGGACACTGTATGGGGACACCTAATGTAAGAGGACACTCTGATGGGTGTACTTTGATGGGGACACCTTATGTATATGGGCACGGTGATAGGGACTCCTGATGCAGGCTGCTAGAAGCCCCAGTGCATTATTTTCCCAGGGGCCCATG